AGCGGCATTGCATCATCCGGCTGTGAGCCTACAGTGCCTGACAGTGTGGCTTCAAAGAAGGGGAGTGCATGCCAGCTTTTCCTCTTGCATCTGTGCTCCATAGAAAAGAAACTCATCAAGGGCTATTAACATAAAAGCTACGCCGCTAGCTCAGGAAGTGCCTAGCCTGTGAGCAGCTAGAAGCTGGGAAAGCACGTTGGAGCAGCATCACCCATGGCTGGCATGCTTCCACCTCTACCCAAAACAATGTTATGGTCACCAAAGGCAGACGAGATGTCGGGTTCGCCCTGCAAGTCTGACAACGTGCTCCCTCACCTTTGCTGCTCCTGGCAGCCAGCAGCCCTGGTGTCTCGCCAAAATCATTGGGGATCTCAACATCTCCTCCAAACACGATGATTGCTTTGATCATATCCAAGTGGTCATGCTAGGGAAAAAGAGAAAGCTCAGTCCCCGCCTCAAACCTTCCAGAAAATCCTCTCTCTTTTGCAGCAGCCTCTGCTGAGAAAACTCACCTTCATGGCCAGGTGCAGTGGTGTGTTGCCATCCTGACCCCTGGCGTTGGTGCGGGCCCCGTGTGTCAGGAGCACCATAGCGCAGTCAAAGCGTCCCCTCTTGACCGCGATGTGCAGAGCCATGTCAGCTGTCCGGCTGGTCAGATTCACCTCGGAGCCGTACTCGAGCAGCAGCTGCGTCATCTGCCCCCAAGTGTGCACATGCCAGGTCAAGGAGAGAGAAAGCCATCGTGAGGACAACCACCCGGGTACTCAAACGATCCAGGTCTCGTGGCAAGCAAAGCAGGGGAAGACCTTTAGCCTGGACAGGGCTGGCTAGCAGATCCAGCTGCATTGTTCCAAGCGTGGCAGACGGGATTTCTCCATATTTTTCTCACAGAACTAGCTGGTGGTTTCACAATCTGGATGTTTTGGGACTTACCTGCAAGTGTAGCAACTGCCTGAAAGCAATGGAGAAAAAACACTTCCTACTCAGGCCAGAATCCTTGCAGACTGAAAGGAAGAAGTCTGCTTTTTGATCTTCTTTATAAAGGCAAGTAGAATTTATGTCTGCTCTGAAACTCCACAGGACATTTCTGAAAGGGATGTGATACAACAGGAGGGAAAACAGTTCTGCCCATAGGACAGCCCTCTGCTCCTAACAAGCACCATTCAGGTGCGTGTCATACCACATCACTGGTCTGCCCACCTCTGGTGGAAGATGGACCATAACCCACTTGCCTGACACCCCTGTGCCAACCTCACACTTTCCCCTGCAGTTTCAAGGCATTGACCCGCTTTCTTCCCCCAAACTGCCAAGAAAGAAGAGAGTATCCCCCAGGGGTAACACTGACACCGCTGTAATTTCCCCAGCGAGAAGGGAAAAGGGACAACTTGGCAGTTTCAGAGCCAAGGATGACACACTAGGGATGAGGCCACCAGTTTGTTTCACTGCAAGGCTCTGCTTCTCCGTTCCAACCAAACATCAGGCTGCTGGTGGGGCACACTCAGGAAGGGGAGAGGCGAGCAGCAGGAGGAATTAATGGGGTGCTGGGTGGCAGCACAAGCCCTCGTCACAGATCGGCTTCTTTTACCTCTGCCTTCTTCGCCCAGTGCAGCGGAGTGGCTTCATAGCGCGGGTCCTTGGAGTGAACCTGGCCAGCGTCCACCTCCAGGATGGCCTGGGCGCACCTGGCAAAGGACAGCGAGACAACGGGATGGGTGGCTGCTGTCTTGACTCAAGGCCTCCACCCACATCAGCACCTGCCTCCTGCCCAAAGCATTTCAGGAAATCTTTCGGGAGCAGCCGGCTCTCTGCAACACCCGCGAGCTCCTCAGCTGTGGTTCCGTTTTGCTCTTTTGAGAAAGGAAAGGCACAACTGGAAGTAACTGGAAGCATACAGGCAGTGTCTGTGGAAGCAAGAGAATCCCTTCTCAACTCCAAGTTGTGGAGCAACGTCTGGGTGCTTCTCCAATACAGGAATATAACATTTCCCAAAACTCTCAAGACCCGAGGGGCAATTCTTCACTTCCCCATCTCCCCATGGAAATGCAGGGATAAAACTGAAAGAAATATTTGCTGAAATTAAGAATCTGTACTTCCCTGTGAGTGAAAAATCACACCTGCTGTGAATAAACTAGTATCTAGTGCCAGAAAGTGTAGGTAGGTAGACTTATGAAAATGACACTCTGAAACACCACCAAATAAACCATGTACAAGAGATCAGGCCCCACTGGAACCTAAGGGACCTAAGCACATTTTTGGCTCATGAATGCGTCTCTAATGTTGAAAGCACTTTTCAAAATGCTGAAAAATTAGCTAGCAGCACCTAGTGTTGACTTGAGATCCCTATTTGTAGAGCCTGGACACTCTGAAAATTAAGTATTACAAAGCACACACAAAGAGAACCAAATTTCTCCAATGAAAACAGAAAAAGTAGTAAACAGTACCTCTTTTGATTCAGTTCCAGAGTGCGCTATAAAGAGTCAAGAGTACCTTTGGTGCAGAGGAGATAGGAATAACTGGGCTTTGCATCGAAAGCTTATTAGGATCACAGCACTCAAAGACAGAGGTACATCAATTAGCAATACAATTTAAGGATCCATAAATCATCTCCTCACAGCTCATTCTGAGAAAAAGTATTCCACAACCACTTTTGTAAAAAAATCTGTGTTTCTCCTGATGTCTGATACTAAATAATATATAAATTCAGGGAAAAACTTCTCTTTCTGAAAGAGCTTCCCTCTTTCCCACACCAGCACTTCTCTACCTTTTTGCCAATTTGGTGATGCAGCAGAGGACAGCACAGGACATCTTCCTACCAAGTACTGAAAAGGGATCCAGTCTTGGACAAGCCCAACTGGTTGCCAGACTGGAAGAAGAGCTCAGTTCTGGCAGCCCAAACAGTTACTTACCCCTTCTGGGAGAACTTCAGTGCCGTGTGGATGGGGTAGCCCAGCGTCCCGATGACACTGCAGCTGGCATGGCACTTCAGCAGAGACCGAACCATGTCCTCCTTGCCCAGCTGACAAGCGAGATGCAGAGCAGTCAGCCCTTCATGGCTGAGGTGGTCCAAGCCAGCAGTTGGGATTCTGCCCAGGAGCTAGGAAGAAGAGATAACAGATAAATAAACAGACAGACACAGGGGAACTCTGTCTCTCTTCCTGAGCTCCAAAGACAGACTCTGGAGCACTGGGCTCCTCATGATGGTAGAGCTTCTCCTTTTCCAGCACAAGAGCTATGGAAGGGCTCCCGGTTTTCCCTCCCCAAAGCATTTATCGTGGCTCTCTGTGCCCTATTCCTCCAGCCTGGGTGCTTCTCAGACAGCTCTCAGTCGAGAAGGGCCCGCAATATGGACCAGCACACTCCCACCATCTTGTGCTGCATAAGTCAAGCTCAGCCCAACCTAATGAGAGCATTAATTGAAATCAGTAGTTTCATCTTCTGTTACAGCCCCAACAGTTACCATGACAAGTCAATGGGCAGGAGCTCAACCTTCCCTGCAATTCCACCACTGTTTTCAGATACAAGCAGGATTCTGTTTAAAATACAAATATGGGGAGATGCTTGAAGGAATTCTCCTGTTCTCCCCATAAATTTTAGACCTGGTACCTGTCGATTGGTTTGTTACACCAAAAAATCCCGCTGCCATACTGGGGAAAACCCTTCAAGCCTTGGTGCACACAAGAGAATCAAGAATTTAGAGATTCTTTTCTCTGGTTTTGTACGGACTCAAGAGAGAAAATAAATGAAAAGGAAACAGATCAGACCTGGAGGCATTTTCACAGAAATAAAGGAAGAGGATACCTTTTTATCACAAAGATCTTAACTGCCCTGCTCCACAGCATGGCAAGCCCCAATCATCATCCCCACCCCATGATTAGGAAACCCCAGCACAGTCTGGCAGAGGGAGAGCTGTCACAACAGGCACTGGGAAAGCACGGGGTGGGGGCGCAGCCATAGGTGAGAGCTGGTTTTGCGCTGGGTGCTGGGTAGCTGGTAAACCTGAGGAACCCACACAGAAAGCCACCCACGCCCTTACGACCCCATTGTTCTGCCCAGCCCTTCTCAGCCATTGTTAAGGCCTCCGGCTTCAGACTGTCTCTGTCTCAAGGCTCCGATCACTGTGTTCGTCGTCATTGTCATCATCCCCACCCCGCCACTGTGTTCGAGGCCACTCAGTTCAAACAACAAGTTCCACAACTCAGGAGAGCCCAGGGAAGCCCCAAACCGTCCTTCAGTCTGTGAGCAACACACGTCTTCCCCACAAGAGCACTCTGTCCAGAATCAAATATGCTGGCTCGGAGGAGATGGAAAAGGAACAAACAAGGTCCTGAGGAAAGGCAGGACACAGGCCTGATGCAAATAGCAATGAAAGACACTTTCATTAATACCCTGCTTAATACCCTTGTTCCACTGCAGGGCAGAATCTGGAGCCTGCTTACAGGAAACAGCATCAGTAAAGGGAGAAGAAAGAGCCTGAAATCACTCTCAGGCATTAACTTGATGCTGCAGCAGAAGGAACCGACTTTTTCCTCCCCTGTTTGCAGCTGTCTTCTTCCTTACAGCACAGAGAGGACGCATTCTAGTCCCACTTGCCCCCTAGGTTCGAAATCACTCCCACCTCGATGATGTGGGGGCTGTTCCCTCGCACAGCATAGTGGAAAACGGTCTCCCCGTTCCTGTCGGTGATGTCCATGCGCGCGTGGCACTCCAGCAGCTCCAGCAGGCACTCCACATCTCCCTTGCGGCACGCCAGGTGCAGCGGGGTGCAGCCATCCTCGCTGTCCGTGCTGTTCACGCAGCTGCAAGAGGTGAGACAGCGTGAGGCCAAGAAAGGGCTGAGAAGACGAGGACACGCAGCTGCCTTGTGAGTCGACACAAAGGTATCCTCCACATCTGTGACAGGCCCAGCTGGCGTGACCCACGAGGTTTATGGAAGCCCAGTTTCTTGCCAGGGAAGGGCCACCAAGCAGCCCAGCCACAGATCCTCTCCCTGACAGGCTGTTCTCTGCTCTGCCCCCCCGACAGGAGCAGTTCTCCCCACCCAAAGGAAGGCAGGAGACAGGTTACAGCTAGGAACCTGGCAGAGGTGCTGCCATTAGTCCCCCAACTCCTCACAAGCCTCTCCTATCCTCGGCAAACTTCCCCATGGAAAGAAAGCAAGAGCTTGTGGCCAAAAACTGTTTTCAGAAAGACACTGCTACTGTACCTGCTCTCTCTCATGATTTACAAAGTCAACCACAACCCCTTCCAAAAAGCAGCTCCATGAGGGTTGTAAGAATCTAACTAATGCCTCTAGCAAAATGCTTTAGCAAAAAGCCAGAGCTTCGGGCTCTGCCCACAGCCGCAGGCTGAAAGCCTGCCAATAAGCTTACCCAGTGACCATCGGACGCCCTTTGCTACTTTTAAACTCATCTTCTGCTGTAACCACTGGTGTAAAGCTTCTCCAAGAAGCAGCTTTGGTACATCCCGCTGGGATACCCTAATCCGCCCTCCCAAGCTCATTCCCAGCACCAAGGCCACAGAGACCCTTCCCCGGCCCTTGCCTCAGAATATGGTTGTGCCGGAAGTTCTCACGACGGCCGATCTCCACTGCAACATGTGCTGAGGACCAGCTGGGGTGGTTGCGGAAGCAGTCGCTGAGCTGCTGGAGATCCTCCAGCGACAAGGGCTGGTGTGAGCTCTCGTAGAAAGGGCGCAGTTGCCCAGCGTAATGCTCAAAACGCACCAGGGCATCTGCTTCGTTGTCGAGCTGGAAGAGCCTGAAGGAAAGGTAAACGCTGTGTTGGTCCTGCTCAAAGAAACAACCTCGATCCCATGCATCTGAGAGAAACCACTCTGCTTCAAGTATTAGTGCTGGGGACCTTCCCGTTCCTCCTTACCTGGCGTCAATGCTTGTTCAAAGGGCGAAAGGTTGCTTACTTCATTAGCAGGGAGCATCCCCTCTTGTTGAGGAATATTAACTTTTGGGATGAATCACCCTATGCTCCAGACACTACAGCAGCAACGGCTATGAATGGAAATGCACATACACGAGATGTTCTGGCCCAAGTAACTATTTTGTCGTTGCTTGCTTTTCAGAGTGGTTGGATGCTGTCCTGCCCTGCTCTCACAACCTGTTTTGATGACGACTTCTCAACCAACACACACGAGGGGCACCCAGCGCCTCATAAGCCCACACACGTCACGTCACCCCACACCCACGAAGCACTATGATCAGAGGTTTCAGGTCTGTAGTTTCCCCACTCAGTGACCATAAAGGTCTGACACTTACCGGAAAGCGATCTGTGGGCTCTGGGGATTCACCAGCAGGCAATCCCACGAGCGAGTGAGGTTGTTCTTATAGAGGG